TACCAACCGCTTGTTTAGGGGATACTCAATTCTATACACAATCAATAGGGGATACTCAAACATTCTCAAACACATATGTATTCAGTAAAACTAAAGTTTCAATACTTTCCATAAAACAAAATAACCTTCATGTACATGTCAAACATCTGAATAATAATATCTTTTATATTCTTGCACATTAAAAAAATTAACCATTAGCTAAGATACAGGCGCACTTCCATCTTCCATCACCATCTGATTCGTCTTCTCTACAAGGAATACGGTCTCCAAATGATTTATGTATCTCGTTTCTCACCTCCCATATCTATCTGCATATAGCTTTAATTAAGTAATTGAAGTTGACATGTTATATACAATTAACATATGAAGCTAATATTATCATTTATAGTTATTAGTGCTTACTGCATCGGTGAGATTTTCTTGAAATGACAGGGAACACCAATAGATGTTCTTGTTGCACACTTATCACATTTCTGCCTATTCTTTTCCATGTTCTGATTTTTTGGATTCATCAGTCTTCCAATCCTGTAAGTAAACATCGAAAAACATTTTTATCAAATATGTCCATTGAATACATTCAACTTAACTAGATAATAACAAATAGTTTGCATGTCATGCTTGCAATATGTTGATCACTGACTGTATAAGCTTTTGGTAATATTACCACACAAGAATTTAATCCGGACATGACTATATTAGAAATTTGATAGTGAGTCTGGTTCGATGAAAGAAAATAAGTTTTAGATTATATCTCAGTTGCCCCTTGCCATTGAAATTGCTGACCTTCACATCCCAAAAGACTTAGTCTTGGTAAAGGTATTCTCAAACAGGTTTGGTGCTGCTACTATGCAAGATATTATAACCAAGACAACTTTACACAGCCTGGTTTTGAGGGACTAAAATGATGTTGTTCACACATATGTAGATGGCCAACACCCGACCATCTGAGGTTATGAGGGAGGATATCTTACAGGCCGGAGCACAAAGCTATAAGAAATTGAAAGACAAAGCTACATGAGGGAGGTTATGAGGGTGCTAAAGACATCAAACTCATTTGACTTAACTTTACTTGTATATGCTTTTCATATCAAAAGAAATGTTCAAAAAGACAAATAAACGAACACACTATTCTTGAACTTAAAAAATATTTTACCTTATCCCACGCTGCCATGATATTTTCGTAGTGTCTCCATTCTATGCGACTCGCCCAGTGCTAGATGTCATTCCTATACCGATCTGCCACCCTATCCAAACATGCATCCACAATCGCATCCTCTGTTAGGCTAGAGGGCCACTTCCAATGTTTCTACAAAAGTTTATGACACTCAAAGAGTCAATAGGTTGTTTACAAACATATCATCAAATAATTTCATCAAAACTACATTTAACAAACCTTGAATTCCTCCCAGTAAAAGCTCAATGACTCAGGTGTTACTCCGACACCACCCCCTACCCCAACACCCTACGGCCAGCAAACTAGAACCTTGTCCAAGCTCAACCCCCTACTCTAGCTACCATGTATCCCAGACCACCCCTCACCCCATGTCCCTACCCCAACCCCATACGGCCAGCAAACCAGAACCCTCTCCACACGCAGGCCAAAC